TTTTAAGGAAAAAGTACACACGAGCATTATTTTTTCATTGCTCAAACCATAAAATAAATCTTGTTGTCAATGATGCAAATAATGTTCCGGAAATTAGAAACACTATTGGCACCGTAAAGGATGTTATAACCTTTTTCAGGGAATCCACCACTCGCAGAAGTTCCGCTCCTAATCTATCACGACTGTGTGAGACTAGATGGTCTGAAAAATACAAAAGTATTCGCTTATTTGCACAAAATTTCCTCGAAATTGTGAAATCACTTGAAAAACCATCTATCGAAGGAAACTACGCCACGAGAAAATCTGCGTACCAGTTGCATGCCGCCGTTACCAAACCCTCACTAATTGTTGCCCTAACTATAATTGCCAAATATTCAGCTTTACTGGAGCCGGTTGTTAATGCCTTGCAAGCAAAAACTATGGATTTAATTAAGTTGCAAGAACATCTGAACGTAATCCTTAACGTTCTGAAGAAAAACCGTGAAGATGCCGACCTAGTTATTGATGAAGTACTTAAAAAAGCACAAGACTTTGCATTGGAATTGGAAATAGAAATTTCTATCCCTCGAATTACCAAGAGGCAAATACATAGAAACAATCCTCCATCAGACTGTGATAGTGACTACTGGAAGCGTTCGTTAATTATACCGTATCTGGATTCAATTATAGCCTCTTTAAATATTCGCTTTTCTCAAGAACATACTCCAGCGTTTGCCTTAACAAAAATACATCCATTATACAGGGTGTCCCACGGTGGATGGCGTATTAGACGTTTATGGAGAACTAAAAAGCGAATCATTTTGAAAATTTGGCAACCGGGATAAACGACCATGATCTACACTTTAAAAATATTTTTGACCATGCGGTGTTGCCGCTTCTACTCTAAACTAGTGGCAACATCACTATTTTAAATGGAACACCCCGTATTTAATTGCATATTTGGATTCTACGTAAAATTCTGAGCAGATTTCATGTGATATACCCTATACCTAAGTTCAACTGTTTTGGAAATATTGACAGTTGAAAATTGACTTTTTGCAACTTTGACAGGCTGTAAAACCTAATTGGTTAATTTTAGAGGAAAACCGATTTCACATTCCTATCTTAGATTTTGATAAACTATCATTTAACACCAACTTTGAACTTAACCAGAGATTAAATTTAACTGAAATTTTTAATCATGGATTTAATTCTAAGTTGGTGTCAAATGATAGTTTATAAAAATCTAAGATAGGAATGTAAAATCGGTTTTCCTCTAAAATTAACCGTTCAGGTTCTACAGCCTGTCAAAGTTGCAAAAAGTCAATTTTCAACTGTCAATATTTCCAAAACAGTTGAACTTAGGTATAGGGTATATCACATGAAATCTGCTTAGAATTTTACGTAGAATCCAAATATGCAATTTAATACGGGGTGTTCCATTTAAAATAGTGATGTTGCCACTAGTTTAGAGTAGAAGCGGCAACACCGCATGGTCAAAAATATTTTTAAAGTGTAGATCATGGTCGTTTATCCCGGTTGCCAAATTTTCAAAATGATCCGCTTTTTAGTTCTCCATAAACGTCTAATACGCCATCCACCGTGGGACACCCTGTATATGCTCGACATGGAAACCAATCAAGTAGAACAAAATGCACAATATTTTACCCAGTTTTATAAATTGGACGATATTACTGCGGAAATGGACCTATGGTATAATTTGTGGAAGGAAAAAAAGTCAACTGAGGACCAGCTAAAAGACGTCGAAATAACTGACCTTCTCGACGAGACCGATGTTTTTTATCCCATCCTAAAACAGGCACTTTTGATTTTAATCACAATTCCATGCACCACGGCCACTGTAGAACGATCCTTCAGTAGTCTTCGAAGAGTGAAGACTTGGTTGAGAAGTACCATGGGAGAGGAAAGGTTAACAGGATTATGTCTCATGAGTGTGCATCGTGATTTAATTAAATCAAATCGAGAGCAATTTGAAAATCAAGTTTTAAATAAATTTGCGACAAATCCAAGAAAATTGTTATTGAAGTAAAAATTGAGCGAGTTCTGTCAAAATTTAGTAATTAAAAAGAGAAATGCAAAATCCATTGTTTTTTTTTTTTTTGGTCAGCCCCCCCCTATTTCAGATCCTGGGTACGCCCTTGGATTGGTATCATACGGTAGTTAATAAAGTAATTCAAAATTGTTATTTTTGTATTTAATAAAATCTGTTTTTTATTTAAAGATAAAAGTCAAAATGACATTCTGTTGGCAATACAATGTAAAATTGTCAATGGTTTCAAATTTTTTATATAGAAAAAGCTTGTGTTGCCAACATAGTTACTAAATTTTTGACTTGGGGAATTATCTTTAAAAAAAAAAACAGACTTTACATGGATTAATTAGTATGTAACTCTTCATTATGTAATCAAGAGACTGTTTATCATAATTTTATTTCCACTAGAAACATATTAAATTGTTCAGTGCTAGTGGCAATAAAAAATGATAAACGGATCCTGAAGAAAAAAAAAAATTAAAAAGGAGCGCTTCCCGCGCTCTCAAATTGTTGACTACACACGCGAGAGGGCGCTGTAATCAGAAACAAAATGTTTGTATTGAGTTGCCTATCTATAATATAGGTTCGAGAGAGTTTTGTATCCCTTATCTTACAGTGACTCTATACAAGACAGTAGCGACAATAGTACCTAAGCTCCGCCCACCTGCCATGTTTTGTCGAACTCATTCAATATTGTATTTTTCTTTCTTTATTTTCTGTTCTAATTTTTTTATCACAAAATAGTCAATAACAGGCACAAATAACAAAAACAAAAATATATAAACACAAAATTGCATAAATCTCTATAGGAACAAATGGTAAATACAAATAACTTTCCACAAAACAAGGCGGATATTCTGTAGCCAATCAAAAATGAGCCCCTCTATTGTCGCCACTGTCTTGTATAAAGGCACTGTACCTTATCTATGCTCCGGTTGACATGTCGCGAGCGTCTGCTGTCATGGCTGTCAGATGCCTATTCGATTATCAAATTGACAGTGCACAATTGCTTGAATTGCTACACAATTGCTTGAATTGCTACACAATTTCAATGTGAAAATCTACACATTCAAAAATTGGTCTGTAACAACCCTGGTTGCGCGCGCATGTCATTTTTCAATACTTTCTAACTTGTATTTTTTACAATAGGGTAGTGGACAATTTTTTGAAATATTTTTTTAATTAATCTCCATAACAAAATAAATAGTAGTTGATGATTCTTTGATTTTAGAAAACAAAAATATACCTAAAAAAAAATAATAGTAGATTATACCACGAGTCAATAATGATAGCTATTATTCCCGAGGTATATTTACGAACTGAGCCGCGTTAGCGGCGAGGGAGTAACATTCCGAGGGAATAATAGCCATTATTGCGAGTAGTATACTTTACTTTATTTACGACAAATTAATTTATTTCAAATTTTCTTTCCAAAAACGCTCTTTGTTCATCCATCTCAATACAAATACACAAGCACTACGCGTTTGACACTGACACTGAATTTTTTCTATACTGTTTCCATGGTACTACCTACTTATTTAATTTGAAAAATTTTGTCATTGGTGTGCAAGCGGGATTAATGACCATTAATCCCTGCGGGAATAATAGATGTCATTAAACAGCCAAAATCACAAATATAATACTTACATTATATGTCAGTCGTAAATAAACAAATTTATACTTATTTTAAACGCTATAATTACCGCCCGGAAATTACGTCACAGCTGTTATGTCTACGGCATTCCGACATTAATAAGAGTGGGCGAGAGCGCGGTCAGTGCGTCCTTATATTTTACATACTTCTAGAAAAAGATGCAGATAAGCTCAGTGCGCATTGATTGACAAATGAAAATCTCTCAAAAAGTGGGGTTAAGTTGAGGGTGCGCCCCGACAGACGCTGATATATCTCTCTTTTTTGCACTAATGAGTAAGTGTGTCGAATATAGGACGAAGGTTTAATTCATTTCATACTCAAATACAACAGCTCGATATGACCAAGACGTAGAATCAAGGCGCGAAATATTTTCGTTTAAATAATGCGTCCCAAAACTCTACTTTTACAATCGTTTTAAACCAAGTTAGCAATTTTTTCTGAAATTTCTTTCAATAGGAATATTTTTCATTTACTCCATAGATGAACAATAGATCATCGATTTCATTGAAATTATACCTTGTCCAGTACCCTATTAAGCTCTCTTTTTCAATTCTGTGACAAATTCTTAACGGGATATTTTCAGTGTTGCCAATTTTAATAAACATTAAAATGCTAATAACTTTCTTAAGAATGCCACCGGATTCTTTAAATTATTTTTCTGGGGTTCCTTAAAGGGTCCTCCACCATGTACTGAAGAGCTTTTACGCTATTTTCTGGACACCCTGTATATCTAACTCCTGGTTTATTCATCTTCTGATAATCTTGCTAGTAACCGTCTACAAGACAAATATGGGAAACTAGAATAATAGATTGATTTTTTATCTGTTAGATCATATTACATGACATTTTATCAGCAGGTGAATAAACTGGGCATAAGAGCAGTAACGAAATCATAAACTGATTTAAGGCCCCCACAGAAACTCACTCTTGAACGGTAATAATGGGCGGCGATCCCAATCGACTCGATCCGTCCATCCAACAATGAACGGTGATTTGTGCTACTCCAAGGTCAGTGCAAATAGCAATGTGCAGAAGTGATACATTATACCAAAGCCATTAAATTAGCAATATTACAGATTAGTTTTGGAGTTTGACTAAATATTCTTCCTGTGAAGGATAATCAAGAAATCAAGCATAATCTGATTGCTGGGTTATGTGGTGATGATGTCACCCGCAGACCGCGATGGAATGCTTGCGATTCAGGCTGTGCTAGTGCGTTAATTTTTTCGTCGATTATTAATGTTGAAAAGCCTTGATTTTCGGTCTGTTCTCACAGAAGAAATTAAGTGTTTTAGAATAATCTAACGAATTAAGGACCAATTGAAGTTTATTATTCATTTGCATCAGTTAACTTGATCCATCTGAGAATATTGAAAATTTTATCAATTCGATGGTTTAGTATAATATCATGATTCATGATAAATTATTTTTTTACTTTGGAATCTGCCACTTTTAAAATAAAACAATTACTATACTTTTCGAGTAAAATTTATTTACAATAAATAATACTATATACATGCCAAAAATGCTTTTACTTCTTAATTATAGTGAACCAAACACTTTAACTTTTTACCCCAATATTAATTATGCATGATTATGTTATTTGTTATCTACTACAAAAATAAAATAATTTGTAAATTGTGGAATGTTAAAATAATAAATATGCATGGACATAAATAATAATAATTAAAAGGTGATGTGTTATGAACTTTATGATAAATATAACAAAAAGGTAATACATATCTACTTATAATATATTAATCATTATAATTATTATCCGAGCTTAAGGAAAAAATGATTAAGATGTCATAAAAAGAAGTAAACAGTAAAACAGATAAAATAATTAAAATTAAGCACTTTTTTTCAAGTAGATTATTTGCAAGACATTGCAACTTGTTCTCAAAATAAGACCTATCACAATATGTTAATAATTTATTTGTTAAAACTTTTTTACTTATTTTTATGGAAAATCAATGATAAAAAACCAAAAAATGGTTGAAAAAAAAAGTCTATAACGGTTAATAAATACAAAATTTAATAAAATCTGAAACAGTGAAAGATAAAACACCAGACAATCTAAAACCTAATTTTAACAATTTGTATTGCACCAAGTAAAATTCTTCAATTGATGTAAACTGAATTTTTTGTTAATCTTAAAATAAAAAAAATTGATTTTAAATTTTGAGACTTGTGGGGTATATTTTTCTTATAGTAATGCTGTGTATCAAAGGGATTCTTACTTTTTCTGGTAGTAAAGTAAAATATCAATTTTCAGTGATTTATGCCAATGATTTTTTTTAGATCGGTGGCAATTCCTGTTTAAAAAAGGCAATAATCCCCTTCAGATATAGAATTATGGGTTGATGAAAGAAATCTACTCCTATCTAAAACATAAAAGTCTGATTTAGATCTTGAGGAACCTAAACGGTTTTAGTGGTTTTAACAATGCAATTTTTAATGATTAATACTACTTATATTGAAATGTACTTGATGATAACAACATCCATATTAAGAAGAAAAAATCGAGTTTCATTATTTTTTAAAAATATGATATTTTAAATGGACAATAGATTACTTGAAGCAAAAAGTACCAACATGTAAATTGAAAGTTCAACTGTAGTTACAATTAATTATACTGTTTATGTTTATTGAGTTTCAATAATTTATTGCATTTGTTTTATTTTATTTTTTTAAACACCATGTTATTTCTGCCATGACTGTTCCAACAAGAAATCACTCACAGCCAATTAGAAGTTTTATAAATAGCAGAACACAAATTGCAAATTATTTAGTAAGGATCTAATTGGCCATTTTCAGATTTCCTTTTGATTGTTGTATCATAAATACAGGGTATTTGGTGCATCGTTTGCCAAGTTCAACTGCCTGAGAGAAGGGGCCATTTGCTAACTCTTCAGCCATAAAAACTCATTCTTGACCCCACGGGTTTTTTTCTTAATTTGATTTTTAAAATATTTTTTTGAATCTCAAAATTCGCCATTTAAACTTAAATAAAAAAAAAAGTTGTTGGCCTAGCCTCCAAATTTTATTTTTATTTTTATATGTACAGGGTTATTGGTTATAAATGTCACCCCCCTCTATCTTTTTTATTTGACATTTTAGAAAAAAGTGTTCCAAATAAAAGTTTTATGGTTAAAATAATTTTTTTGAAAAACTCACTTTCGCATATACAGGATGTTTCAGAAAAGCTGGTCCTGCCCCAAATTTCTTATTTCAAATAGAAAACCCTGTATATTATTGGATATTCGGATTCTACGTAAAATTCTGAGCAGATATCATGTGATATACCCTATACCTAAGTTCAACTGTTCTGGAAATTGAAATATTGACAGCTGAAAATTGACTTTTTTGCAACTTTGACAGGCTATAAATCCTAAACGGTTAATTTTAGAGCAACACCGATCTTACATTTTTATCTTAGATTTTTATAAACTATCAGTTAATACCAATATTTGACATCAACTTTGAATTTAATCCATGATTGAAAATTCCAATTAAATTTAATTTTCGGTTAAATTCAAAGTTGATGTCAAATGATAACTTGTGAAAATCTTAGAAAAAATATAAGATCGGTTTTGCTCAAAAGTTAACTGTTTAGGCTTTACAGCCTGTCAAATTTGGAAAAAAGTCAATTTTCAACTGTCAATATTTCCAAAACAGTTAAACTTAGGTATAGGGTATATCACATAAAATCTGCTCAGAATTTGACGTAGAATCCGAATATTGAATAATATACAGGGTATTGAATTTAAAATAAGAATGTTGGAGCACGACCAGCTTTTTTGAAACACCTTGTATATGCAAAAGTGAGTTTTTCAAAGAATTTAATTTCAACCATACATTTTTCATTTGGGACACTTTTTTCTAAAATGTCAAATAAAAAAGTTAGAGGGGGTGACATCTATAACCAATAACCCTGTACTGTGGTATGGTTCCACCAAATACAAAATTACTTACCATTAAGGTCTTATTTACGTTTTCAGACCAAATATCGAATATTAGCCTGCTGTGTTCCGATACACAAAATTAGCAAATTAGTGAAGATGTTAAAATGTTTTTATAGCACATTACATACCACTGAAAAGTGGATAAAATAGGGAACTTTTTAAGAGAATTTGAAGATCAACTTTAGTTTTTTTTTTATTGCAATGGAAATTCCTGAGTTATATTGAACGATTCCCATATTAACTAATGTTAATTAGTCAATCAATCCATTGTTTTAAGAAGCATACTAATTGCTCGCCCACGATGACATCACAATTGTTGACGTTTTGTTTATAAAAAGCGGTGCAGCCATGCACAATTGTTCTTTTGCTTTCATGCTTTGCAGCAGCAACTAGTTCCACTAGTCTTCATATGTTACTTTATTTTTACTTTAGTTAATTAAAATAAAGTTTTTAAAAAAGTAAAGTTTCTTATTTGAAACTTAATTGGCGCAGTCGTGCGGATATTTTTTACAGTTTTTTTTCATAAAAACCGGATGTTCAGAGTGCACAAGTTATTCCGAATTTCGAGATCGTGACTCGCGAATTACTGAAGACAATCGTACTGAATCTATAAGTGATAACTTGGACTACAGTGAAAATTGGATTGCAGTGAAACCTGGATTACAGTGATCATTGGAGTGAAATAATTTGAGGAAAATACCTGTCCACTTCACTTGGTGTTAACTGGACATAAGAGACATCGAGAACCAACGTATAAACAGTGAGAGTGTTACTGTTATTAGCATCGAGCCTATTAAGTAAACCTTTCCCTAATATTTTGTTATTGGTGTTTCATATTCAAGAGTTATTTTTGGATTTTTCCTGAATTCTTTCGCAAAGGTTTAAACCTATTTTTCAAGATAATCAATTTTTATTTTTTGATAAAACATTTTTAATCCTATTAATTTTAAATTTTTAATTTCAAAGTAAAGCTTGTTTAATTAAAGTTTTATTTTATGTCTGAATCTGGATCAGATACTGAAGAATATCTAAGTTAATTATATCAATTAAGACCTAATATTCAATCAACAAGACAAAACAGAAACATGGGTGAAAATTTGAAATCCATAATTCAACTTTTGAAGCCTTTTGGTAGCGAAACTCAATATCTGGAGTATTTCATTAGTAATATTGATGAATTTTATCACACTTATTATGTAGGGGATACTGCCCAAAAAGAATATGTAATAACTGCGATAAGATCAAAGCTTATCAATGATGCTGGAAATTTTTTGATGACACGTCCAGATTTAAAATCATGGATAGATATTAAGGGAGCTCTAAAAATTAAATATGGAGATCCTTATTCTCGTCAAAATTTGATTCAAGAATTAATGTATGCATCAAGAAACCAAAAGGAATCAATTTATGAATATTTAGAAAGATTGAAAGCTCTGTATCACCGAATTACTTCAAAAATAATGTGTGACAGCAATTTGTTAGCAGTTGCAAATATTCTTGTAGCTCAAAATGAAGTTACAGCGGTACAGAATTTGATAACAAATTTACCAGTTGAGCTTAGAACAATTTTAATAGTTCAGAATCCTATAACATTAGACGCAGCAACATCTTTTGTATTAAACTATCAGATGGCTGAGAATCATATGAAATTTAACAAAAATCAAAATAATTCCTTTTCGAATTTTAAAACAAAAAATAATCAAACATTTCAACACCAACAAAACAATACACAACAGCAACAAAGACAACAAAACCCGTATTTATGTGAAGCCACAATTTCCTTCACAACCGATAAACTTACAGCCAAAAGTAATAACTCATAAATTCCCTACTAGTTCGGGTACGTTTGGTAAAAATTACAACAAAACAAATGTTTTTAAACCAAACAATAACCTTCCCTTGACAAAACCGACACCTATGTCTGGTGTATCTATTCAACCAAGAAGACAAGATTCCCAAATTAATAGACGGAATTTTTCAAGAGGTTTTCAACCCCAACAATCAAATTATTTTCGACGAGATCCCAATGCAGGTCCTTCAAAATACACCATTAAGGAAATAAATAATATATACGGAATTCAATTACAAGAACCAGACGAAACTTCTGAGAACTATGAAAGTTCAGAATTCGCAGAAATATCCGACAACTCAGAAATAAATGACGATCAAATAAGTCAAGATTACCAAGAAAGCCCTGATGAAAATTTTCAGACACTAGCCTTGGAATCCAACAATCAGCATTGACTTTAAATGCATACCAAGTCAATCAACTACCTTTTATTGAAACTTTCGATCCACCTTGTAAGCTTAACTTAATAAGACCTTCAATAGCGGAAGAATACTTCCCAGATTTTATAGTGAACTCTTTAAATAAACTTACTACATGTATGGGAACAAGAAAAGCCCATGGTAAAGTGAAAATTCCAATTTTACATGAATTTAATATTGATCAAGATATTGACATGATAATGTACAATTTTCATGATTATTTTGATGGTATTATCGGAATTAAACCTTTACAAGAAAACAATTTAAATATTGACTTTACAAATATATGTGCCTTAGTAATGAAGAAATAACAATTCCATTTCAATTTAGAACAGACTTTGATTTGATTTAGAAATTTCAGCAAAAACTATTCAACTTTGTTATTTTAATACAGACATCCTTGAAAATACTGAGATTCTAATACCTCAAGTAAAAACGGATAAATACATGATACCAGAAACAATAGCTAAGGTTATAAACGGAACAGCATTGTTAGAAGTGCATAATCTAACAGATAAACCTTTTGTTCTAACTACGCATAAAGATATGATCTAGCAGAAGCAAGTTTTATCTATAATGAAGAAGCTTTTGAGACGTTTAATATAGAACAAGTAACGTCGTTATACCGACATGAATATGATAATAATCCAATAGAATTTTTACGTACTCAGCATTTAAATAAGGAGGAATTAAATGCATTACAGAATGTAGTACGGGCGTTTCCGAAGATTTTTCATAAACCCGATGATAAGTTGTTAACCTTCACGAATCAGGTTAAACATGTAATCAGAACGTCAGATGAAATACCCGTCCATAAAAAAACTTATAGGTATCCTCATATACATAAAAACGAGGTTAACCAACAAATAAAAAAAATGTTGGAAGAACATATAATTCAACCATCGTGTAGCCCATGGTCCTCGCCAGTATGGATATAGTGCCAAAAAAGAAAGATGCTTCTGGCATACAGAAATGGAGAATGGTGGTGGATTATCGCAAAGTCAACGAGAAAACTATCGACGATAGGTACCCAACACCTAACATTTCAGATTTACTGGATAAATTAGGACGAAGCAATTATTTCACAACATTGGATCTCGCATCTGGATTCCATCAAGTAGAGATGCATCCCAACTCTATACCTAAGACGGCATTTAATGTTGAAAATGGACACAATGAGTTTACTCGAATGCCATTCGGACTCACAAATGCACCAGCAACCTTTCAACGAGCGATGGATAATGTGTTATTTGGATTGCAAAACAAAATATGTCTTGTATATATGGATGACATCATCATATTTTCGACTTCACTTCAAGAACATGTGAAAAACCTTAAACAAGTATTTGAAAGACTACAACAATATAACCTAAAACTTCATCGAGTTGAATTTTTACAAAGAACAGTAGAATTTTTACAAAGAACAGTAGAATTTCTAGGACATGTGATAACGCCAAACGGTATAAAAACCTAATCCGAACAAAATAAAGGCAATAAAGGAATTTTCAATTCCAAGAACTGTCAAAGAGATAAAATCTTTCTTAGGATTAGTAGGTTACTACCGAAAATTTATTGAGAATTTCGCCAAATTAACGAAACCAATGACGATATGTTTGAAAAAGGACAAGAAAATAATTCATGATGTGGAATTTATTAAAAGTTTTGAAACATGCAAGAATATCCTGGTAAATGATCCCGTATTACAACATCCTGATTTCAATCGACCTTTTCTTTTAACAACTGAAGCATCGCATTATGCCATAGGAGCAGTGTTATCTCAAGGCCCTGTCAGCTCCGACCTTCCTATCGCATATGCAAGGCGTACGTTGAATCCTGCAGAATGCAATTACTCAACCATAGAGAAAGAACTTTTAGCAATTGTTTGGGCAACCAAATATTTCAGACCATATCTTTTCGGAAGAAAATTTACTATTTTATCGGATCACAAACCTCTACAGTGGTTATTCAACGTTAAGGAACCAACTTCTAAATTGGTAAGATGGCGACTTAGGTTATCCGAATTTGACTATGAAATTAAATATAAAAAAGGAACCCTTAACATGAATGCGGATGCTCTATCAAGACCACCTTTACAAATAAATACGCTTCAAACCTCATCATCATCAGATCCCGATGCGAAAGTAACAGCACAAACTGATGAAGAATTTCACAATAAATTAGGAGATATGTTAAGAGACACACCTTTATGTAATGATGAAATATTTAGAAAATATTTCTCGGAATCAAAACCATATATGCGCAAACCAACATCAGATCACACTGAATCAACAAAAACTGCATCTGAGAAAGAAAATGCACCAAAGATTAAAATAATTTCACAAGTAATTATCCCTCCAAAGAAAAAGGAAGAAATTCCAATATAGGTCAGGGAGAATCTTCAAAAACGTATAATAAAGAAGAAAAAACCCTAACAAAGGACAAACTCAGAGGATGAAGAAAAAATATCGACACCTTCAGAAGAACAAACTATACATACATCCTTGGAAAATCCAATTATAGGTGCTCCATATAAGAAGAAACATGTGAATCTCTTCCCTAATCAAGTGATATTTCGCTACTCAAATAATAATACAATTAGGAAAGAAATTATTAAGACCTTTCCTAATAAAAAGGGAATCATATTCTTTCTACCAAATAATCCATCAAATGACCAAATAGTCAATTTAGTCAAAGAATAAATGGCCCCTGATATATACTGTCTTCATTTTCTAAATAAGACACTAGAACCTATAATATTACGAGCCTTGCAGTCAGCATTTAATGCGAATTTATTTATACTGTATATATCTAACTCGCTAGTCGAAGATGTGGCTGAAATTAATGAACAGCAAGAGAAACTAAAATTGTATCATGAAACGAAGACATCCCATAGAGGAATAACTGAAAAAGTAGCGGCACTAAAGAAAAGATTTTATTGGCCGAACATCGAGAAAGATGTACAAACATACGTTAAAGCATGTGAGATATGCAATAAGACCAAATATGAACGACACCCGTACAAAATAATGTTCAAACCTACACCAATTGGTTCAAAACCATTCGAAAATTTGTATGTTGACACGTAGTACATAAGTAATAATCAAAATTTTTTAACGATTATGGACAGTTTTTCAAAATTTGGCCAAGCCCTTCCCGTCAATACTAAAACAGCTGTTAAAATAACGTCACAACTCCTAAAATATTTTAGTGACCACGGAATCCCTTAGAAAATAACTTCAGATAATGGTACTGAGTTCAAAAACACTATTATAACTGACCTTTGTACACTACATAATATTGAATTTCATTACATAACACCTAGAAATCCCAACTCAAACAGCCAAATCGAGAGATTTCATTCAACTTTACGTGAAAGTTTAACAAGTCTTAAACTTCAAAATCCAACAAAAAATGTTATTGATTTAATGGTAATTGCAATTTTAAATTACAATAATAGGACACACAGTACAACTGGGTTTACTCCTTTTCAAATAATTAAGGGTGATTTAAATTCTGCAATTCCAATTGAGCAAACAGAAAATAAAATAACTACTGATTATATTAATAATCTGGCGGACTCATTAGCTACTCTTAATAGAGAAATTGAAAATAAATTAACATCAAAACAAACTAAAGTACTTGAAAAACGTAATGAGAATCGAGAAATTGAACCCGAATTGCAAAACCCAATTTATGTGAAGCATTTCAATAGAAACAAAATAAGTCCACGATACGATAAACAAACAAAGACATTTTAGTAAACAAAATGTAAAGAGATCCTATTTCAGGTGAAAGACAATGAACGTCCTAACGTCCCTTATAGTAATAGGAATTGCCCACGCCTATACAATGACCTCGTCTTCATATGTTACATTACTTGTACTTTAGTTAATTAAAATAAAGTTTTTAAAAAAGTAAAGTTTCTTATTTGAAACTTAATTCCTGTTTCAAAAATTTTATCAGTTAATCATAAAAAGACTAGACGTTAATAGCAAGTAATTTTGTATTTGGTGGAACCATACCACAGAACGCATAAAAATAAAAATAAAATTTGGAGGCTAGGCCAACAACTTTTTTTTTATTTAAGTTTAAATGGCGAATTTTGTGATTTTAAAAAAAAATTAAAAAAACCAAATTGAAAAAAACCCTAGGGGTCAAGGATGAGTTATTATGGCTGAAGAGTTAGCAAATGGCCCCTAGTTTCGGGCAGTTAAATTTGGCAAACGATGCACCAAACACCCTGTATATTCAAAGGTTCATGAATGTGTGCACGCTTTGGATTGAGAAGGAAAGAGAAGGCTTTTTATTTCGTGCAAAAATTATTTTAATGAGAATCTGGTGCAAAAAGCTCTCAGCCTTAGGTCATCCTCAGTGTTAGCTTCGCTTTCCAGGTGATTTTTGCACGAAATGCAAAGTCTTCTTTTTCCTCCACAAATATATTTGTTGTAAATCATAAAAATATAATTTTCAAGTTGTTTTGTAGATTTATGGTGATTTTGACTAAAAATTCCAGATACATATGCATATTTTAATAATTACTAATAGGTATTGTAGAAAACAAGACTTGCGAAATCACAAAGAATAATAATTTTCTATTGTTTCTGATATTCCATAAAAAAGTTGAATCTGCAATTAAACTACCTATTAGGAGCTATCAATTATTTACTAGCAATCGTTAAAAAAAAATGGGTTTGTTTTTACCTATTGCCACCCATGTTTCATAAAAGAGTTGTTTCAATGCTGTTACAATTCAGATTTTTCTAACATAAGATAATAGAGATATAAAAATAGATTTATTCAGCAAGTACCAAATTTTACATAGGCCATCGGATTGAAATAAATTTAGATACACACTAAAGAGAATCATTACAATCGTAAAATGTATTGTGGAAAAATAGAATTTATACAAAATATAACAGTATAATTTGATCTAAAATCAAATCACCTAAAGACCTTTTTATTTATTTTCTCTCTTTATAAATAGTTTACGTTTCGTGATTAGTATGATCTACTAACAAGGAATATTTAAAAATGTGATAATCAATTTGAATGTCAACTTCAATAAGTATATAATATAAGTTTCTTTTTTTGTACTTGCCAAGAGGTTCCATTTTTAAGATATGTTTTTTCAATCAAATCCAAATGATTTCACATTTTCAAATGAAATGGGGATGACATTTTTTATTGTTGTAACAATCATCTATTATTACACAGAAATTTTTTTATTTGTAATCTAACACCTTGTTATTGTATGGAAGTATTATAAGATTCACAAGGAAAATGCCTACAAATATATACAATTTGCAGAAGTGATTACGGATTAAATCTATCCAGCGAGCTAAGTAACATTTCTACGTATTGTCAGAATTTTAGTTTAGTTCAAGAGAATCTATAGTTACGAGGAAGACTGAATATAAATAAATACAAAAAGGGATAATAATGCTTGCGCCAATAAATCATAATAATAACCATAGAAAGCAAAAAAAATGCACGTTCTAGCAACAAGACATATTTGACTAGTCAGAGAAATAAATGTTTAGTTGAGCCTGTATTGTCAGAGAAATCCTTAAATAATTTTTCTTGCACATTTAAATAGAACAATGTGCAATATAAAATAGTCGAGAGAAAAAATCGAGAATGGTATTAAAACGGATAATAAAATTGCTATTATACTACAAGGAATCCATTTTTTCATAACATACAACTGATAGAGATTCCAAACTCCTAAACCAATCAAATTTCCATTAGGAATAGGTAGGTAATAACTATTATTTTTCTACACATAAATCATAAAAACCTAAACCTTACTTTTGATTAACGAACTCAGATAATTTGTCGCTTTCCAAAGCCGTCAGAAATAAATTACTTCTTCGTCATGAGAGGGTGGCTGTTCGCCACGTACTTTAAATTTCTCGGGAAATTTCGGATAAGTATTGGTACGTGTAGCTTTGGCACCATTCGGACTTTGGCACTGACTGGAATTTCCAGAAGACGGTGGCGATTGCTGCATCATGGCTGGACTGGAGCCTGTTCTTATGTGAGAATTGCTAGTTGGTGTCTGCGAAAAAATAAAATTTTATTTAGTTTATCAGTTCAGTCTGACAAAGTAGATCTAATAGTTATGCTTGGTAAAGTACTTAGTATTTATTTATTTGATAATACTAGAAAATTACATAGGGAAAACTAATTTTAGAATATGTTTCTACTTGGTTCTTCCCTCATAACCAAAAGCAATAATTCATTGATAATAATTATTACAAGAATTATTTATTTTTGCACCGTCCACAAATTGGTCTCTCCGCGGGTATTGAAATAGATGAAGATTACAGTGAAAGTTATGGCTGGTCATTTGACATCAAAAAGAACTCCTCTTTATGAAGTACACACACAGCTTTAAAATTAGAACACGAGTTTATGCCATGTATGCAGCAGGTAAGAATTGAATTTATGAAGGTATATATTTTTTTTCAGTTCTTCAACACTAATCATTCCCCTATTATCCTAACTCATAAGTGAATATTTAATAATTAAGAAAGAAGCACTTATCTCATCTACATGTATAATTCGCTAGAGAAGTTTATATGTCTTTCTACGTCATTCTGACGTTATGACTTGAGCTCAAATTTGGAATAGTTGTTCTTTGGGATACTAGCTAAAACCTAACGGAGCCAGATTTTTCAATTTCGATCTATCGTTAATATTCAACAAGCAACTTGGGAAAACAGTCCCAAACCAAAAAGAATTTTCCAGAGAAAAAACTACTTAAAAGAAATTAGAAATCTTATTGTGGAAAAAAGAAAACTAAGAAGGAAATGGCAGCAAAGTCGAGATATCCATGACAAAATAATTCTCAACAATATGACGTAGCGCATAAGGCGTGAAATAAAATAAATCAAAAATGACTATTAATAATTACCTTTGTGAACTTATTAGTGACAAAAACACTGATTATTGCCTTTGGAAAACAACCAGAGGATTTGAGAAACCAGTTACCCAAATTCCACCCGTACGAAGTCAAATCATTAATGGGCAAGGAGTAACGAAGGAAAAGTAGAACTTTTTGCAAGACATTTAGGAAAGACATTTCAGCCTAACAAAGCGCAAGATGAAAATCTTTCCTGGAATGAACCTCATCAAGAAGAAGGCAACATTAAGCCTACTTCACCCACCTAGAGAAATATTGGCAGAGATCAAACCAATAATATATATTATTTCCAGTTTTATACAAGTTCATTGAAAAGATACTGCTAAAAAGAATAAAACCAATCATAGAAAGACAGGAAATCATTCCAACTCATCAATTTGGATTACGCAACAAGCACTGTACGACCGACCAAGTTCACAGAATAACCAATATAATGGAGACAGGGAAGAGGGAAGAGTCTGTTCCGCAGTTTTCCTCGATGTGGCGCAAGCATTTAAAAACGTTTGGCATGAAGGACCGAACTATAAATTAAAACTGTTTTTGCCAAAACAATAATCTGAATCATATAAATATATGTGATAGACATTACAGTCAAACAGAAAGATTTTGAGTCAGGGTAGCGTGCTAGGCCCCTACTTATAAAGGGTGTTCATTTTAAAACTTACCACCCCTATTATCTCGGAGTTGAAAAATTTTCGAAAAAATTCCTGAAACAGGTCAACTATAATTTGAGGGGGAATGAGTTTTTATGCAAAATTCACATCCCCCCTTTCAACCCCCCAGCGCCCAGAGCCACCCACTAAAAAATCTTGAATGGAAAGAGGGGTTAAGTGATACCTATATCATTTTGGAGGGTTTTTAATTCCACACATTTTGGTACTAAATTTTGATCCCTAGGTTCGACTGTCTTGGAAATATTGACAGTTGAAAATTGACTTTTTTGCAACTTTGACAGGCTGTAAAACCTAAACGGTTAATTCTTGTCTTAGATTTTTATAAACTATCATTTGACAGCAACTTTGAATTTAATCCATGATCAGAAATTCCGGCTAAAAATTTAATCTCCGGTTGAATTCAAAGTTGCTGTCAAATGATAGCTTATGAAAATCTAAAACAACAATGTAAGATCGGTTTTCCTCTAAAATTAACCGTTTAGGTTTTACAGCCTGTCAAAGTTGCAAAAAAGTCAATTATCACCTGTCAAGATTTCCAACACAGTTGAACTTAGGGATTAAAATTTAGTACGAAAATGTATTGAATTAAAAACCCTCCAAAATGATGTATCACTTGACACCCCTTCTAATTCAAGATTTTCTAGGGGGCGGCTCTGGAGGCTGGGGGGTTGAAAAATTTTGCATAAAAAACTGAAAAACTCATCCCCCTTCAAATTATAGTTGACGTATTAAAACCAGAAAATTGTCATTTAGCAACATTCGTCGACGATACTGGTTAATAATAAGTATGTTTCGACCCGCTAAAAAACTGTCTCAATAATGGTTTCGGAGAAACCACTCAAGTTGTTTTCTTATGAGAACTAGGACATTTTCAACCCACGTTTCTAGGGCTCGACTTTCATGAAAAAATCACTGGTTCAAACGAAAATTGGCTATCTGCAACCGTTTGACCGCTAGAGGGCGTTTGTGAAAACTCTGTAATTTAAATGATGCTATTTTAACTTTTTTATTTTTAAAGATAATTCATGTTCAAAAGTTTTTATACAGGGTGTTCCGTTTGCGAGTAACTATTATAAAATCGAAATTTTCTTATGAATCACCCTGTAATTTTACATATTTGAGAAGAGCTTAAAATTACCTTCTCAACGATATAGCACACATTATATTTTGCTTTAAGGGTTATGGAAAATTTCACGTTTTCATGGTTCTGAATTGACGCTGCGCATCAAATCGGTAGGTGTATGAAATTATTTTGTTTTTGGTATACCGTGTGTCCCAAATTGGTGGTGAATGTATTAGGGATATACGAAACTATCACAGATACGAGGAAGGTTGAAGGGAAAAGTTTTAGACAATTATGTTAGAAGTTTAATAGCGTTTGCAGATTGAGTCTGGCTATTCACATTTTTGAGATATACAGTGTGTTTCAAAAGTCTGGGAACGGTCAAATATTTCCATAGCGGCTTGAAATAGAATTACGAAATTTTCTGTAGGTAACTTGGTTTTTTTAAATAGGAATATCACTTTATTTTCATTGCAATAAATTTGGCGCTCTATTGTTATTCAAACCTCTTGATATCATGTCCCTATTTCACACGGTTTCTGAAATATGGCAACACAGACTTTTTGTTCAAAAGTCTGGGAACGGTCAAATATTTCCAGAGCGGTTCGAAATAGATTAACGAAATTTTCTGCGTATGGGTAATAAATGATGCCCGATTCAATGATGGCATCGACGATGTTGCCAAGTTCACTGGTTTTCAGATAATGTAGGTAACTTCGTTTTTTTAAATAGGAATACCACTTCTTTTTCATTGCAATAAATTCGGCGCTCTATTGTTATTAAAACCTCTTGATATCATATTCCACTTTTACACGATTTTTGGAATATTGCAAAACAGCCTTTTTGTTCAAAAGTCTGGGAACGGTCAAATATTTCCAGAGCGGCTTGAAATAGAATTACGAAATTTTCCGCATGTGGGTAATTAATGATGCCCAATTCAATGATGACATCGAGAATGTTGCCAAGTTTACAGGTTTTCAGGTAATGTAGGTAACTTCGTTTTTTTTTAATAGAAATATACCACCTTATTTTTAATGCAATTTTGGTACTCTATTGTAAATGAAACCTTCTGATTTCAAATCCCCATTTCAAGCGGTTTTTAAAATGTGGCAACACAGACTTTTTGTTCAAAAGTTCGAGAACGGTGGAGTATTTTGACAAAGGCTTAAAATAGGATATTCAAAATTTGATGAAGTGAGGTTATTGTGATGCCCAATTCAATGATGGCATCAACAAATATCAAAATATCGATACGCTGGGATTCACTCAGTTCGAAATTCATTTTGACAAAACTTTGAAGGAACTTGACACATCTGATAATCACCTCTACCACTGGAGAATCAACAAATGAATATCTATATTTTTAGTTATTGAGCGTACGTGTATTCTTTCATGCTATTGTTGTATTGTTGTATCAGGTATGAGTACAAATATTTTCACATGATATAATATGACCTATTTTAAGCTAAGACTGTCCTATTAAGGCTATTAATCATGAGTCAATTCTTAGTAGTTCCGGAATTATCGCAGGATTTAAAAAATGTTAACAACGTGACGACATTGTAGAGATAATCTCTACCAGGATATTAATCTAAATAAAACTGGTAAACTCTATTTTTTTGCAAGCATTCCATTTATTTCCACCTGTTTATGTTTTGGTTTGTTATTCGCTTTCAAATAAAGTTAATAATAATTTGCATTTTTATCTCTTTTCTAGTGGAAATAAAAAATGTGCCATTTATTAAGTTGTGAATTGCACTCAATGACATTTTTGCACTGAACATTCAAGAGAAGAAATTTTACACACTTACACTTCCCATATCACGCATTCTTTGTGAAACGGGCACAATGTTCTTTCATCAGGTGGGTGCCCTTCTAATGGAAAATCTTTTCCTGTAAATTCTGGCAGCTAAATGAGTATTTTGCAATGATTCTGCCTTAACAAGTATCTGCATATTCGACGTTTGAGAACATTTTATTTTCAACCACCTATTATTTTTATGCTATGTTGCCAAATGCTTAGATACCGAATTACGAGTGAAGGTGTCATGTTTTTTCAATTTTTAATTATTGCTGTTGACTAAAAATGATGAAGTTAATTTTTTTTTTATCTCATAATGATTAAAATTTTCTTTATCTTCCTAATAATTGTCAAAAATTGTCATAACTTTAAAGATCTTTTTATTAAAAATGATTGAGTTTCCACGTCATAATATAATTTTTTTTTTTTGTTCAAACTTGATACACCCTGTATAAAATATCAATTTATACTCGACAACCAGTTTTTTTAGTGTCATTTTTGCCGGTATTATTAAAAGAGATAGATAAAATATTTTCCTGGGGTAAAATTTTCTCAAATCTCGAATTGACCCCCAGAAAATATAATCCTACTTTCA